ACTTTGTTTACCTCTAGTACACTGATGAGTTGTACAATACAATGTTTACTTTGTTTACCTCTAGTACACTGATGAGTTGTACAATACAATGTTAACTTTGTTTACCTCTTGTACATTGATGAGTTTTACAATTCAATGTTTACTTTGTTTACCTCTGGTACACTGATGAGTTTTACAATACAATGTTTACTTTGTTCGGATTTCTGCATCGACTTTCTAACTTTTAGAAGAAAAAAGTACTTTCACGTAGTCATTATGAGCTTTGAGTGGTAGGGTATCGACTAAATGTGTGTTATCGTATGTGAAGGTACCGCGGTCGGTGCATGGAGAGGATCTACCCCGAAAACGTCACTCAGTGCTGTCCTGGTTACGTGGGTAAACACTGTGACAACTACCTCAAAGGTACGTATCTAGTGGTGACGACTATCTCAAAGGTACGTATCTAGTGGTGACGACTACCTCAAAGGTACGTATCTAGTGGTGAACTCTATCTCAAAGGTAAGCACTTATAAGTGACAACTATCTCAAAGGTAAGCACTTATAAGTGACAACTATCTCAAAGGTACGTATCTAGTGGTGACGACTACCTCAAAGGTAAGCATTTATAAGTGTCAACTATCTCAAAGGTAAGCACTTATAAGTGACAACTATATCAAAGGTAAGCACTTATAAGTGAGAACTATCTCAAAGGTAAGCACTTAGAAGTGACAACTATCTCAAAGGTACGTATTTAGTGGTGACTACTACCTCAAAGGTAAGCATTTATAAGTGACAACTACCTCAAAGGTACGTATCTAGTGATGACTACTATCTCAAAGGTAAGCATTCATAAGTGACAACTACCTCAAAGGTAAGCACTTATAAGTGACAACTATCTCAAAGGTAAGCACTTATAAGTGACAACTACCTCAAAGGTAAGCACTTATAAGTGACGACTATCTCAAAGGTAAGCACTTATAAGTGACAAATACCTCAAAGGTAAGCATTTATAAGTGACAACTACCTCAAAGGTACGTATCTGGTGATGACGACTATCTCAAAGGTAAGCATTCATAAGTGACAACTACCTCAAAGGTAAGCACTTATAAGTGACAACTACCTCAAATGTACGTATCTAGTGGTGACGACTATCTCAAAGGTAAGCACTTATAAGTGACAACTACCTCAACTGTACTACATATGTAAGTGTTGACAACTACGACACTCAGTGCTGTCCTGGTTACATAGGTAAAACTACTGTGACAACTAAATCGATCGAATGTAAGCATCAAATGGTGACTACCTCCAAGGTTCGTAATCAGTTGTTTGCCACACGCTAACAGAAAAGCAAAAAGAGGATTGACAACTTATTTGAGTCACTTTGTTGGGATCTTGTATCGATGTTTACAGAGCCCAGTATGGCAAAACTAGTCGCCTAAATTCGGCAATCGTGACGGTTTTAATTTCATGATAATTCATTATGTAACCTTAGTTTTGTTTTTTTTTAATTTTATACACATACCAAGTTCCTCTGCTTACTGAGTTTAAATGTTACAGTAAATTATCTGCACCCCTGGAGAGATGCGTCCTGTTGACCCATTAATTAAAATATAATTAGTCAGCGTATTTACTTGAGAGGTTCCAGTCGGCATTGAGGAATGTGTACGGTCCTCGTTCTGATATAGCTTCTAGTTATGAGACATTTAAGACATGTTTACCGAGTTCCTGTGACCGGTACCTCGATCCAACAGGAGGCATGTTCATTTTAGGACATACAGCGTACTGTTGTTAGGGTCTTGGTTACAAAAGGAAGTGGGAAACATACAAAGCATATGAAAGTTATTTTACAATAATGAGCAGTGAACACATCATATTTTAATAATGAAAGCTAACCGTAGGACTTATATGTAACGTTAAAAAGGTTTTATTGAATACGAAAATTTTCACAAAATTGATTAATCACAGTAGTTGCCACAAACATCAGCTGTTCTAAGTGAACAGGTGGACTATAACAGGATATATCATGCCGGGTGTAATATGTTTTGGACCATGTTGTCTCTCCTTGTGTTTTGGTGTCCCCTCGCTTCTTTTGTTGTCTACCATCAAATTTATGTTTTGATTTTGTCTGTAATTTGAGTCCACCAAAAACTACAAATTGTTTTTAAACGATTGATGTAGTATTTTTATTTTTCGATAAAAATGAATTACAACTATCTTAAATAAAAATGTATATATATGTGAAATCAGAGCAAATTTTATCCGCCTACCTGTTCTACGTTGTTCGTTAACTCATTAAAACTGGATAAATGAATACAGTTTATAGGAAAGTGTCAAAACATAAATAAAAATAAAGTTAACTATTTACAATTTTGTCCGTTATTTTTTCATGAACTGACAGAAATGATGAACTGTTTCTTTTTGTGTTCCCACGCTTGCTTAAACGTCCCAGTGAACTTTCCCAACTTAACGGGCCCTGGTAGTACACGAACTCTCCATTGATATCAAAGAAATGAAATGAAAGCGTGAGGCACATTTTGTTTATTATGGAACAAAATATTAATGTTCCAGTTACTAAATAGAAATTACATTTTCTTTAAAGAGAGTTCTGTTTTAGAACCCCGACATTATAATTATGTTGACAATGTGTTAAACGTTTTGTCCCTGTTTTACGTCACGTTAAGTGTGAGAAAATGATAAAATATACGTTACATATGCGATGTACAGTTCAATATATATTCCATTTTATAAAAAAAAATATCTGTTATTCAAATGCATACCGAAACGATCCACCGTGATACGAACAATGAAGATATTATGAAATGTGTCCAGCCACTGGCATTATTATTTTTGTTTATATTTATAATATGTCCATATTTTGGCTATGCTACAGAGATATATGCAGACTGAAGTTGTTTTATGTTTCAGACGAGTTTTACTTCGCGTCATCTATGGCTGGTGATGACGTAGGCTTCATCCAACGACGTGCACTTGTAAATACCTGTCTTTTTATTAATTTTCATCAAATTCCAAAAACATGTTATATGTTATTCTCGCGTAATAAACCATCTGTGTGCTTTATCAAACAGAACACCCGGTTTAATCTCAAACACAGGTTATTCTTTCTATTTCAAAGTAAGTGCCTATGTGTCTTAATTAATCCTTTTCTGAGTAACTAAAGTAAAACAATCTATTACATAATATATTATATAATATTATGTATATTTCCATTTAGGAGAATAACATTATTAAACAATCGACAAGGATTTTGTTATATCTATTTTTTATAAAAAAAAAATCTAATTCCTATTAAGAGGATTACACAAGACAGACGTGGACCGAAAGGGGAAAAGGGCGATATTGGTCCGGAAGGTTTCATTGGAATGCCTGGACAGAAAGGCGATCCCGGGATGCCGGCGGAGAAGGGCCAGAAAGGAAAACCTGGTAATTACTGTCGGTTAGGCTAGTCTGTCCTATAGTTGAAGTAACTTGCACGATTTTCCATTTCTAAATTGGTGTCAAGCGTTTGTCTGTCCGTCCTACAATTCGCAAACGAATCAGTGGATTTTTTTTCCCGTTAGCGGTCAGAGATAAAAATGTACTTTTATTGTGTATTCAATCTGATTAAGTTCTGGTTTTAATTAAATTGAGGTCTGTCTACTTTTACTGAGAAATGCATTACGTTCCAAAAGAGTTCAATCGTCATAAACATGTAACAAATAGTTTTGAATCGCAAATGGTAATTGAAACGTGGTTACTTATTGTGTTAAAAAGATACACAATAACGTATAAATTAATAACACCCCGATACTTATCACAAAATTATGAAGTAATATAAATTTAATATATAATAAAGGGAGATAACTCAAAAACAAATCGCATGTGTATATATAAAAATAAATGTCCGGTATACGATCCATTGCTGTATTGCTCCAAATGTACATTCGTCACACAAGTATTCAAGTATATGCATCATACAGTTATGTCAAGCACATAATGAATTAGGTGGTTCGCTGTATGTGTCATTAACCAAGTACACATTAAGTATTACACTGCTTCTCTAGTTTCTCTATAGGTTTGTTAGTTATAAGTAACCCATATTATTTTATCAGCACAGTTATTGTACACACATATTTCATGCATACTTATTTTTTGTACTTTTGGTATGTGTTGTTTCTGATTTCAGAAAAATATATATCGCTATATAACTTATCTATTTGTTTCCCTGCAATACTTTGGCGATACCTGCAGGTGCAATAATAGTTGGGTGCACTCTTAATTAATTTCTTTCACCACAACAACCATATGCAAACACAGAGAATTCACCGGCACTTGAGTTGTGGTATTATCTAAATAGCAAAGGAGAGGGAAAAGACAAGCTAGACAAGATAAGGCTATTCCGTCTTTGCGTATTGCAGAGTTATCTTCTCTTGTGAGCAGGTATTGATTGTAACGTCATTGGTTTGTGTGAGAAAATTACGTCGTTTTCTCAAAAACTGATGACGTTACTCTCACAAAGCAATGACATAACAATCAATACCTGCTCACAAGAAAAGATAACTCTGCAAAACGAAAAGACGGAATATGTAGATAAAGGTAATTAAGGTTTACATTTATTTCCCTTGTTTTATGTTTTTTGTCTGCTGTATCGACCTTATAAATGTTTAGAGATTGTAACCATCAATGTTAGTTTTGGTATGACGTCATGACACGTGCATTATTAGAAAATAGAGTTGACTAATAGTGGGGAAATGTTTTAAATACTGTGTTTTTTTCAAGGTATCTCTAAGAAGGGAGAACGAGGAAGGGAGGGCCGAAAGGGTAAGACCGGACGAAGGGGCAGGAAAGGAGACATCGGACCCATGGGCCCAGCAGGAACCCCATGGTTACCTGGTCTATCCGGGCCAAGAGGCATCAGCAAAACAGGTAATGCAATATTGTAGGGTTACTCTGATGTTTTTCAAATAAAATGTATCTTTACTTTACATGTGTCACTAAAGCATCGATAATTGATCATCTTAGTACTGTTCCTGCTTTTAACATGCATGTGCTATCAGCAAACTGTTTTCTGATTATTTTAGTAGTTCAATGTATATAGTTTTGCTGCAAATCCTACCTTTTCTACTAGCATGCCTTTTACCTTGTTATTACTCTGTTTTCATTCTTATGTTTGTCGTAAAAATAGTTCCACAGAGCTAATGTTCAATCATATGCCATTAACGACACTAAATAAAGCTTCTTGTATCTTGTATCTTATATATAAGTATAAATTCATAACTGCAATGTGGCAGAGTTGTGTAGGTAAATACGTTGTTTAATTCAATTGGAATAAAAAAAAAAAGTGTTTATGCATTAATCCGGTAAAACGAAGTCTAAACCCAATTGATGTAATTGCCCATTTGTATGATTGTAATAGCATATTAGTGTTTTGTTGAACAAACAAGGAGAAAACATATTACTGTGCAATTCAATTTACTAACGAAACATGAAAGGACATGCTGTCAAACTGGGTATTAGATTACAACTGTATAATAACGATACGTAATGCAGGACCATAGTAACGGTAAAAATATTACAATTAGTCGCATCTTAAATGTTCATGTTGCCAACAAAACATTGCGGCATTACCAGATGTATGTGGCGCTGTCTTAATTACATTCAATTATAGATCTTCTTTTGTACAGGTTGCAACGCTTTAGTCCTGATGTTGGACTCCTTGCCAGCCTAATTTTCAGTAGACCATCTCGTGTGTATTTCGTCTGACACTCGCGATGGCATTTCTAAACCAATTGACTTGGTTGTTTCTGAGAATGTATCCTACTGATTATCGCTTCCCAGTATTAGTGTCAACACTTAACTAAACGAACATTGAAAATGTTTGCCTACTCTACTTCAACTCGCCGATTTGTACATTAAGTAACAGGAAACTCAAAAAATGATTCATTATTGTTGGTCCTGAAAGAAATTTCCTGATATTTTCACTGCAGGGTATTTCATGTTTTCCTTTAACAGCTTGGCAAGCTGACTAAAACGAGATATGTGTTTGAGATTTCTTTTAAACTATCAAAAACATACTTTGATTGAGATAACATCTTATATTGAATAAGTTAATCAATATGTAACAGACTGTATTAGAACTCTCTTTTTCAGCAGACTGCAACTGCAGTGATCTTGTGACGAGGGTAGAGGTAAGCAACTTACCCAAATGGTGTAAATATAATATACAAAGTCTAAATGTCTGAAATCAATGTCTAGCCATCTAAGATTGGCTTTAAGTGACAATTTTTGTTCCTCATACAGTTTTTCATTTGATACGATAACATTGAATTGAAAATGATGAATTCTAAATGGAGGAAGTGATGGCCATTTGGTGCATGAAAAAGAAATCAACTTTTTTGCTGTCTGCATCGACTTGCTAGACGTTTAAATAAGTGTTTCACTACTTCGTGTTTCTATTTATATAATTTTAACGCGCTGTTTAAAGGATCTAGAGAATCTCGTGAGAGGGATTCTAGATGGAAGAGTGGCCCTTCCGCCAGCTCATCAACCTCCTCGACGACAGGCACAGGAGTTTCCGACAGCTGATCGCCTTCAACAAGCTGGTCGTGGATCTCAGAGGTCGGACAGCGTACTCACCCCATCGGTCACCACCGAGACCACTACACTCATTGGAAGGGGTACAGTTTCATTTATTAATTGATTATTAAGATTTACTTAGTTTAGCGTAAATTTAAAAATAAACCAATCCAATAAAAGACTAAATTATTAACGTCAGACTTTGCCTAACTTTGAAAACCGAATGTGTTGATGAACGGTCTCCACGTCGTTTAACTTCAGTGCTAGAGAGCTCCCGGTAGAATTCATACTGAATGTAATAAATCTTGGTAAACGGCTATCAAAGACCAGCCTCATAATATAACGGCCTTGTTAAGTGTATGTCTTTGTTTATTCTTTACCTCAATTCGCACTTCAAAATGAATTCAATTCATTTGAATGATTTGAATGTGAGCATGGTCTGAGCTTTGCCGCAAAGTAACGTCGAATTTAAATGACGTCATTAATATCTTGTTATCAAACCAAAATTTGGAAGTTCCCTGAAAATATTGCAAAATATCATTTTGAAATAAAATAAATATAAAATACAAAAAATATAATGATACTTAAACAATTCGCGATCATGAGAACCTCTAAGTACTCAATATACTATCATTAACAGGTGAGGAATCTGAAGCGAACATGACCACGTTACCGTCCGGAGAACTAACCGAATACCAAACGGAGAGCACAGAAACCCCAACCACAATACCAGACCAAGATGTGATCACAGTTGAAGAAACCGCAGCTGTGTTAACGGCGTCCCCCGAACCTCCTTACAAATGTAATCATTCCTACACTATTTCAGATTGTCATGCCGGAAGTTTGTGTAAAATGTCCGCCCCGGTATTTATCAAGATTCCGCCCCCACATCCCAACAACACTGATCTTTCACGCACGTATTTGAACAGACTTTCGTGTTGTAGCTCGGAAACTTTAGACTTTGCGTTTCTTTATTACAAAAATCAATATATGTTAAAATGATAAAAAGTGATATTCTTGACAATACTAATATTTTAGTGAATTCAATCATCTGTTTTTGGAATGTGTGTGCAATATCAGTCTAATTCTGATAATCTTTTGAGAACATGAGTCGGTGGTATAAAATAATCATCAGGAGCATCAGGCTATTTGAACAAACCACAGCACGACAGAAGAAAGTATGTGTTGAACATTTGAAGACAATACGTGACACATAGTGCATGTTGTAGTGTATTTATTAGTTACCGCCGTGGAAGCCCCCCTGGGGGCCGTGAGGATGGCCGTGGAGTCCCCCTGAGGGCCGTGAGGATGGCCGTGGAGAGGAGCAGGATGTCCATCACAGTGACAAAACATGTCGCCTGTGCCATCTCCATCGCACGTGACGGTGGTCACGTGGGGCGGGCAGGTCGTACAGTCTGACGCCACTTTGCACTCTCCTGGCATGTGGCAGTGGCATTCGTTGTTGAGGCAGGCCTGTGTCATGTTGACCGATGGACACGAGGGACAATCACTGATGGAGCTGCAGGTTGGGGCCTTGGGTGGAGCCTGATGACCGTCACAATGGCAGTTGTTGAACGCATTCGTTATCGAAATGGCACTGACATTCACCATTGTGACATATCTTGTTGAGAGAGGGGTTTGGGCAGTCGTGACACGTGTCAGCTGTCGTGCATTTTTGCATTTGGGGTGGAGCTTCGTGACCGTTGCAGTGACAAAAGGCACTTCCGGGAGCATCCTCGTCACACGTGACGGTGGCGCCATGGTGGCACGTGGTACAGTCGGTGGCGGTTTTACACGTGGAGCCAGTATGACAGTGACATGCTTGTTGGCTACAGATGGCATGCATGCCTGGTGGGAAGTGGGGACATCGACAGTCGGTGGCTGATGTACAAGCCTGGAGAGCACTGGCACCGGCTGCAACAAAACGAAAACAACAAGAATACACGTCACAACTTTTATAAAAATACGGCCAAGTCGATGTGTTGTGAAATGAAGATTCTCGGCCAGAATCTGACTATCATAGTTCACATCTTGCATCAAATGTTTGTTAAAGACACGTTCAACAAACTAAATGATTGCTTGAAAGAATTCACAATCAAACCAAGATTGATATGTTTTAACAAGAAAGTAGGGGAAGTAATACAATAAATCAATAAATGCATTGAAGTAGTGTCAGTTTTATATTGTTCTCATGACATAAGAACATATAAGTGAAGTATAGGACGTTCCTAGTCAAGTCTTTCCTTAGCATTGGTTATGTTCATATACCAGTAAAGGTAATCGTAGATATGTAACTTCCTTAACAAAGTTCAAAATACCCCGGCGTCAATACACATGACAAAATGTACCAAAGCTTTAAAACGCCAGAACACAAACGAAACCAAAATATACCACAGCGTTGGTATACAAGAACAAATATACAACAGTGCTAACATACAAGGATAACATATACCAAATTGTTAAAATACAAGGTCAAAGTACACTGAAGTGTTAATTAGCAAGGATATGTAATACTACAACAGTAACACATGGACAGAATTAACCATTATGTCAACAATCAAGGTAAACATATACCACCGTGTCAGCAATCAAGGGGAAAATATACCACAGTGTCAACAATCAAGGGGAAATATACCACAGTGTCAACAATCACGGGGGAAATATACCACAGTGTCAACAATCAAGGGGGAAATATACCACAGTGTCAACAATCAAGGGGGAAATATACCACAGTGTCAACAATCGAGGGGTAAATATACCAAAGGGTCAACAATCAAGGGGGAAACATACCACCGTGTCAACAATCCAGGGGTAAATATACCAAAGTGTCAACACACAAGGGGAAAATATACCAAAGTGTCACCAATCAAGGGGAAATATACCAAAGGGTCAACAATCAAGGGGAAATATACCAAAGTGTCAACAATCAAGGGGAAATATACAAAAGGGTCAACAATCAAGGGGAAAATATACCACAGTGTCAACAATCAAGGGGGAAACATACCAAAGTGTCAACAATCCAGGGGTAAATATACCACAGTGTCAACAATCCAATAGGAAATATACCACAGTGTCAACAATCAAAGGGACAATATACCACCGTGTCAGCAATCAAGGGGAAATATACCAAAGTGTCAACAATCAAGGGGACATATAACACCGTGTCAACAATCCAGGGGTAAATATACCACCGTATCAACAATCAAGGTAAACATATACCACCGTGTCAACAATCAAAGGGAAAATATACCACAGTGTCAACAATCAAGGGGAAATATAACACCGTGTCAACAATCCAAGGGGAAATATAATACAGTGTCAACAATCCAAGGGGAAATATACCACAGTGTCAACACTCAAGGGGAAAATTTACCAGTGTCAACAATCAAGGGGAAAATATACCACAGTGTCAACAATCCAAGGGGAAATATACCACAGTGTCAACAATAAAGGTTATTATACCACAGTGTCAACAATTTATATAAAAATATACCATAGTGTCAAAAAATAACGGTAATTATATCTCAAGGTGTCAACAATCAAGGAAAATATATACCACAGTGTCAACAATCAAAGGGAAAATATACCACCGTGTCAACAATCAAGGGAAAATATACCAAAGTAAAGTCAATCAAGGGGAAATATACCAAAGTGTCAACAATCAAGGGGGAAATATACCAATACCACAGTGTAAACCATCCAAGGGGAAATATACCACAGTGTCAACAATCAAGGGGGAAATATACCAATACCACAGTGTAAACCATCCAAGGGGAAATATACCACAGTGTCAACAGTCAAGGGAAGAATTTACCACAGTGTCAACAATCAAGGGGGAAATATACCACAGTGTCAACAATAAAGGTAATTATGTACCACAGTGTCAACAAATAAGGACATAATATCAAATAGTTAGCGTTTTAAGACAAAATATACCACAGTTAACACATAATTAGGACTTGAACGAAATTCAAACCCGACACGAAAACAAAACAGCGGGAATCGAAAAAAAAACAATACAATAAAGATATAAAAGTTTGACTTGAGCAGTAGCTGGAACAAAGCATATACATACAACGTACCGAAAGCCAGGCACAAAACGACAATGGAGATCTGCATGATATGTAGTGGAGAGTTGCGACGGTTTGCTGAGAATGGGGCCAGCCTGAAAGGGAATCTTTGCCTGGCCTTATATAGTCGCAATGTCGTGACGTTCAACTAGTATTTCTTTTTACACGTGAAGCCTTGCTGATGTAGTGACGTACAATCCAAGAAAGCGACCCATATTCTTACCGATATGTGAATGTAAGGTCAGGTTTTGGTGTTCTGGTAACTGAAAGAAAGATAATTCGAGGTTTGTGTATGTTTACTATAATGAAATAAGTGTCATGTGGTATCAGACAACGCGTGCCTATGTTCTTGTAACTTTGGTTGAAGTTCAACTACCATCTGAGTCATTGTACTAACTGAATAATCATTTAATTTTCTTTATTAAGAAACTAAATTATATAAGTTGCCGAAATCATATGTAAATGATTTAACTAAGCTAACCTGTGTATAGTGAAACATGTACAATACCAAAAACTCCTTCGCAAATAGTAAAATAAGTTATCTCTTTCACTGTGATAAAACGTATAGATATATGATATCTTCCCCTGAAGATTCAGGAATACCTACATTTTGTAATTGGTTTTACGTATCTCACATACCGGTATGGTTTCCTGTGGCGGCTAATGTTTCCAACCCAGCAGATTCGGGGGTATTTCTTCTGTGTCCATGGCTGTCTAGGGCGGTTAATTTTTCCAAGCCTGCAGATTCTCTTCTATTTCCTTTCCTTAAAAAGCATCAAACATATATCTACTGCCTTCATTGGAACACTTAGTAACTCTTTTTTATGATTTTAACATTAAGCAACTCATCTACCCCTTTTTACGGTGGAGACACTTAAGATTTTTGTTCTGGTACAGTAAGCCCATTGCCTTAATGTGTCGACCGGATGGGATATCACACTGCAGGTTGTAACGATCCTGTGATATATAACGTGTTGCTCATAATACGATTGTTGATAGAAAACTTCAACTAAAGCAAATCATCTTTTTATTGTATCTTATCATTTAAGACTATCGCCAATGTACTTCTCTGAAACACAAAATACTTATTGGAATGGTTCGCTTTATTCTATTGTAATATATAAAAAGGGTTAAACATGTCCTACTTTCTAATCTATAATATCCTTGGTCTACATTTTAAACTATGTTTAGTCACAAGGAAGGTTAGAATAATGCATGCAGACTTTACATTCAATTATGTACGGGAACGTCTATTCTGGGACAAGCTTGTTATAGTATATTAGATAAGCGTGGTCGTATATTTAGATTATCGTTGTAATCACCTGATAAGGGTTCATGTTATATCTTAAGGACTTGCTGGATATGATATTAAATAATAAATCGAAAAATGTATCTTTTTATCAAATACATGTTATACAGCACGTTCACATGACAAAAAAATATTAAAAGGAATTTAACATATCTTTATGTCAGCTTTAATAATTTTAAAAATATCACAGGTTTACCTAAATGTGTCATTGATGTAATGGAACTTAATACAGTCAAGTCCTGTGTGGAGGACGATCGGACAAAATAAAGTGCTGTGTGGAGGACGATCGGACAAAATTTAGTGTTATGTTGAGGACGATCGGACAAAAACAACCGCTGTGTTGAGGACGATCGGACAAAATCAAGTGCGGTGTGGAGGACGATCGGACAAAATCAAGTGATGTGTTGAGGACGATCGGACAAAACCAAGTGCTGTGTGGAGGACGATCGGACAAAATTTAGCGTTATGTTGAGGACGATCGGACAAAATCAACCGCTGTGTTGAGGACGATCGGACAAAATCAAGTGCGGTGTGGAGGACAATCGGACAAAATCAAGTGATGTGTTGAGGACGATCGGACAAAACCAAGTGCTGTGTGGTGGACGATCCGACAAAATCAAGTGATGTGTGGAAGACGAATGGACAAAATTCAAACATGTTAGATGACGTTACAGTTCACAATTCAAAGGCAACAATAGCATTATTTAGGTTTCCTAGACATTATTTAATATCGCAGTAGAGTAGTGAACTTTCTCGCTTGCGAATTATTACGTAACAACTGTACGTTGATGTCTCGTAAAGTATATGTCATTTAAGGTTCAACAAGCCCCCTAAAAGATGCTGTAGTCACCTAAAATTCCAACCCCCTGATCAGTCATGTTCAAAGACCTCAATTAAAAATCGGAACTCATATATCTTATTTGTATATATTGAACTTGTTCATTGGCTATACAAAAAATACAAAGCCAGGTTAGCGTAGTCAAAACTAAGGCATTAAGGCTGATGTCTTAATTAAAATAGCTCACTGGATTTATAACATGTCAATCTCTTTTGCGACCCAACTGAGTGCTGAGAAATTACCCATAATTTAAAGTTTATTTATATACATAGGTCATGCGGAGCTTTATTTCTCTTCTTCTATCTGTTGAGAGGAAATCCAACCACAAATAAAGATAGATGTTACCATGCGAAACCACTAAAATCGTAGTAAAATCCCATGGTAATACATTTTAGCAAATTATAAATAAGAAAACAACCTTGATAAATAAATGAACTTTGGATGATGTGCCATTTGATAACATTCTGTGATTAAATGAATGCGCTCGACATGTTATAAACATTGAAGCTGAAAAATACGATAATGTTTATAACAGGTCTAGCTCTTTTATAACAACATAGAATGTTAAGAAAGGACATTTTATATGAAGTTTAAGTAGTGTTTATGGTCAAATGTCAATGGTTTTACACATATATGCCGGGAAAATACGTTACGCGGACGTTTTACTTTGATTTTTGTACTTTCCCATAGCAACGATCATCTACTAGTGAGACAGGTATGTATCTCCACACCTAGTTAAAGAGAAACTAAGTTCCACATGACCTAGGTATATAAATGATCTTCAAATAACATGTCATTTCGTAACATTCAGTTGGGTCGCTTAAGAGATTGACATGTTATAAACCTAGTGAGCAACTTTTATCATTACATCAGCCTTAATGTGGTATTTTGGACGTCGTTAACCTGGTTATGTACCTTTTTAATAGCTCATGTACAAGTTCAATAACATATAAATATTCCGATTTGTGATAAGGGTATTTGAATATGACTTACTAGGTAGGGGGGTGAAATTCAGGGTGACTATTACATCTGTTAGTGGGCTTGTTGAACCTTAACCGAACAGTCAAGTGAGCGAAGAGCTCCATCTTTTCCTCTTGGAGTCGGACGATCTAGTATCTGACAAAACGTTCCTTACCGCCACGGTAAAGCGGGTATTCAATAAATACATTTCACTGATTCGATAATAAAAAGATAGCAACAAACAGCTATAAAGTATGACACGATCCATGTAGGTCGACTTACACCAAAGGACAACAGCCGAAACCGAGGATACATCGAAAGAAACCATGGGAAGCAAAAAGGGAGTATGTAATGCTGGCACCACGTATGGAATTCGCTCGTGATGTCTCCCGTCAAATCCGGGAAAGATTTTTTCCGCGACGAATGATCTAAGGTACTCTTATTGATCACGCATTTAGACATAGCAGACAATGAAGTACAGCACTTTGCAATCTGAACCTGATAACAACCATAACATCGATCTCTGTTGTGTAGTATGAGATCCCTCCGGTAGAAACCCTGGATAAGAAGCAAACATATTGGTCAAATACGTTTTTAGTCACATCTATTCAGACAACCCTGATTGTGGAGCAGGGAAACGAATATTTTAAATGTAGAGGAAATGGAAGTGGGTTTTTTTTAATACTTTTGACCATACACAATCTCACGCAATTTTGAATGAAAAAACAAAATAGAAAAGTTAAAAATTCCTGCTTCAATTAAGTCTCACTATTAAAATATCTCGCGCAATATATCCATTTATGTTCCAATGTTTAACAGAGGAATAATGGGAGTTATCACTGCAATGTACAAAACAAGTGAGATTGTTAGTTTCAGTAAATGCCAAATCTCAACATATTTTTTAAGTGTGAAAGGTAATGTGCGACCATTGCAGGAAATGTTACATAATAATTCATTGCAAAACACCAGTAAAACTATAAGACAGTGGAAATAACGAGTGAAATATATGATATCCAACGGAACACCATTGAATATTATTTTACGTGTTATCTGATTAAACGCCTAATACGTGTGGTTTTTAAAACTCGACAAATTGTATTCGGCAGAAATTGGTGACGCAGATTACACTCCATGCAATTTAAAGTTAATATCTGTAGGTTTAAACACACGCTGGCAAACGTGGAAGTGTTATCTTTATATGTCAGCAATCGTCCTTTATCACATTCCTAAAGCTGCACTGGTACAGTGTCATAATCTAGAATGTCTGGTACTAAACTCGATTGGGATGATTAAAATGAAGTTTTCGTTTTAATGTCGGTAACGAAATATCATTCACGGGCAATGAAAGCACAGATAACTAGTTTAAAATGCAAATATTTGAAAAATATTGGTATTTGTGCAGATTTGGTAAAAGTTTGGAGTATTGAAGAATTGAACGATATTGAATCCACATAAATGGAAAAATTGTCGGTGTAAAATAAAACGCTACGTAAACCTAACGGGTATTGTTTGGAAACAACTTACTATGCAGAGTTAACACATAGGAAATAATGGGGAAAACAAAGATGTTGATATTTTGAAAACTTTACATCGAATGCATACCACGTGCACAAGTCATTCAGAAGTTGTAGATTTATAGAAAAGCGATATCGCCAGGGTTATATTAGTTACATTTAATTTCTAGCTTAACGGCCCGGGCGTCATATCGGGCCTGACAACATCAGGAAGGGACGAATCATATATTACCAGAAAGGGATAACGTTTCGTCCTGATAAGCAACAAACAGAGACATTTTATATTGACTAGGGTGAGTATTTGTGTGTTGTGTAACAATTATCAATAGCTGAAGATAAGCCATACTCCTTTTAGTATTGCTGAGCTAATGATTAAAATAAAGAAATTGTACCTGGGCGTCAACGCGCAGGGTAACGATTAGATCACAAACAACACAAAAATATCGCTTAAATAGTGGATTTAATTAATATAACAAAGATTGTAAGGGAGATAGATAAATAAATAAATGTTTCATAAAAAGAACATATTGCTATGCAGTACACACGCACATAAATTAGCAAACACAAATATTAAAATAAATAATAGCTTGCATAGTCTGTGTCTGATTTGTCCGATCACATTGGTTTCTATTGTTTTAAATACTGTATCTACAATATCAGAAGGAATTTCCATCCATAGGGTCATGAATACGTTTGAATCACTGTCAATTTAAAGTTTTCCCTCTTGTATTGCATAGCACGGCGCAATCGAAGAGACAACCATATACATCACGTTAGGCTGTTTCTGGAACATCGTTTGCACTGACAATACAGAAACGTTCGTACCGAAAGTACGGGAATAGGTTTATTAGGACCACTTAGTATACACTTTGAATGTAAATATACGTATTGAATGGAGAATTGTATAACCTTAATGTGAGTATGAACACAACGTTAATCGTCTACACCTATACGTAGTATGAAAGTATAGCTATATGCATGTAAACTATTTGCTTACTGGTAGGATGCTGAAATCCTCAGCTCAATTCCTATATATCGATAGAAAGTAATAAGTAATAAGCCTCTTCCTACCAAAGTTCAGTTTTACATCGTTGCGTGATCAATATCGTTGAGTGATCAATATCGTTGAGTGGTCAATATCGTTGAGTGGTCAATATCGTTGGTTAAATCCGCGTTGGAATTTGTTTGATATGTTCAGAATGAAAAATTGACTTAGTTTTTTTGGTGTTTTTTTTATAACCATAATTCCTTCCATTATGTTTCAAATATGTTGACATTCCGAGTGATCGAGAAGATAATCATTTGTTAAAGTTAAGAATTCATCACTATACTATATCTCGGTCGAAGGTCTGCAATTGAAGGATCATGAGATCAAAGGACATCAATCTCCGAACCTTATAGTTCCATTGTTCAGGATTTTAACCAATCATAGTGACGGAAAATGTAATCAACCAGTTAATCGACACAATTCAGTGTTAACTAACACCTCTGTAGTTCAATGGAGGGAAGGCTTGGGATTAGTAAAGCAGGATGAAATCACGTGTCTGTAATGTTATATTACGTCACTGTGTCCTCCACACGTCTTTGATTCCTGCAGTTCAGCATTTCCTGACAACATACTATTAGATTGTCTTGTAATGCTCTATGGACCGCCTTAGGCTTTCCTCGTGAGAATATAACGGCGTGTAGTGCAGTATTTTCTTAGCCTTCGAATACACAGAGTTTATTCTCATGTTCATAAATCTCACAGAAGATGTTGTCAAGGTTGAGTTGGTTTGGTAAATGGGGTAAATCAACCAAGCCATACAAGTCAGTAATATCACAGCGCAATACATTAACCAATAGGGCAATACAAACGGTGTCAATTTGAATCCGCGACTTTTCAAGAATGGTTCGACGAGCTGACACATGTTTGCCAGAGGTGTGTCGTCACACACGAAGAACACTTCCGCTCCGAGATCCGGGTTCTCCCGCATGGCCTTGACCGCGCACACAAACCCCCACGCCACGTTTCCAACGTACGCCGCCTGCATGGTTCCATTGGCAAATTGACATAACATACCCCCAGTTCTTTTAGCCCATTTCAGAGTGTGAGGCACCCAATGGAAGTCGAGTTCCCCGTACATCGTCACTGGTCGCAGTGTCAGGGCTCGCATCGTACCACCTGGAAAAAATGTAGTACGCACGTGGAACAAGTTGAAAGTATGGTAATAAAAAAAGGTGACATTAAATTTTCTAAAAACATCAGCAATATTCTTCATACAATTTGTATTTGATAAAGATAGTATTCTTGATTTATGTAATAATAAAGATATTAAAAATTTCCATATATATATATTAACCATCTGGAAGGCTGGCACCGTCATGATGCTCCACGACTTGTTCCGCCAAGTGTTTAGTTACGCCGTATCCTTTAAACAGGAAATCGCTTGGTACTTCAAGCGTCTCGTTGGAGTCGATGAGATCCTTGTAACCCATGACAACGTTCTGTGAACTGCAGTACACAAAACTTCGAACATTTTGCCTGATGCAGACATGAAGAAGTTGTTCTGTACCTTCAAGAAATAGAACAAGATAACATATACTAACTGGCTAATATTATCCATCTATACAAAAAGTAAAAGTAAGCACTGATTTTAACTAAAGCTATTTTTTCTTTCTCTTAGTTTTGGTTTGGTTGTGTTTGCTTGTGTTTCACATCCTAATAACAGCTATGGTAAAGTACACTGTCGGTTGGTACATGTAGGGTCTTTGAATCACATTTATACATTACATAATACCGGTATGCATTTAATTGGTGAAAACATATTTCATATTCAGAGTTATTTAATTTTGATAGCATCGGTGATCTTGGAAATCGAAATGAATAAAACCGAACATCTCATCAAGAGGAAGCCCTTATAAACAACGAGAAGGAGGAAGTGGCGTGTGAAAGTATTATTTCAGATCTACATAATATATGAATGAAAAATCAAAATGAATAATCAGGATTCTGTCTTTTTCAAATACATGTATCACCATATTGAATTCAAAATTCAAATTATTGTGCGAGCTGGGTTCTCCGAACGTAGTGCTGTGCGTCTTCCGATTACACGGTACCCTCTTCCGGAGCGTTTTGTGACCCACTGTGAATTTTTTAACAGATTGACATTTTTCAATGCAATACTATCGTACGTAGCCTACCTGTGACGTTGACTTTGTGTAAGTTGGCATCGTCCGCGAACATCCGAACATCCACCACACTGGCCACGTGAACCACACAGTCCACCCCTGATGTGGCGTTCTCTAAGACCGACTCATCAGTGACGTCACCGACAAATGCTGCTACTGGCTTCCGTTCTTTATAATCTAAAGGCAACATAAAAAATCAAGAAAATGTTTGCCATTGAGACATCTGCTTTCATTGCGATTTTACCAGTGAAATAATAGAATTCGTCAATTTGATTATTATAGGTTTTTATACGGCCACTCCAGTATCCTTTCCCGTAACATCCCGAGACCTCCATTTCAGCCCGAGGGGGCGGAGGTCCGAGGGCTGCTATGGATCAAAGGGATAATACGCGGAGAAAGGATATGTAAATGGCAATATCATAACTTTTATTCATATAATGAATATTTTAGTAAAACATTAGAATAATTACCAAAAAAACAATTCGAATGTGATTTGAGGCGTGATATTTCTTAAACGTGTTTAATAGAAGGTACAACGGTGCGCATGCCAGGCGGATGTGGGTTTGACTGGGATACGTCGAACAGTATCTATCGCACATACAAAACAACCCATACTACTGATAAGTATATGATAAAAACGCATATCTTCACTGTACAGCGAAGATTACTAAATTGTCCTGTCATGTGAAGATAAAACTTCAAGTATCAATTTTAAACCATGAAATATCATTTTTTTTATAGAAAATATCCATTTGTGCATAGAAATGTACTTAAAACTACTTGAAGGGGATATATGATGAAGATTTCTATAACAACATAGTTATAGAATTTTGCATTCGTTCAATAGCTGTTTTATTAACATGAAACAAGCGTAACCTATATGCGTTCACTAACTCTGTCTCTGGTAGATATAACCACGCATTAACTGAGTTCAAAGAAGTTTTTTTTTAATCGACACATACATTTACAATATGACGTCGTATGGCAGTTAATAAAATGCGTTATCATTTATTTATTTAGTAATATTTGCCAATTTGTCTATGTGATACTGTAGCTAGCAGTGCATAGGCCATGTCTCGGGCCGATCCATATATATGCACTGCTTGACCCATTTCTGATCCATATCTGGCTGGCACTTGTCATATCTGCCCTGCATGGTCACTTTTGATTCATATACACGTGGCATATCTGTCGTGTACGCGTCGTATCTGTTCTACTTATAATAGATATGATGACACATCCACATGGACGGACTGTTTGATATATACTGACAACATTCATATTAAATTGACGATGTTTGGGATGTTTAACCTGTTATTGATACACTTACGTTATAACTCTGACCTAACTTCTAAACATTTACAATGCCGAAAAGATGATAAAAACGATTGTAACATTTCCATATCCTTCCTCATATGAATTATCAGTCCATAGCTAGGGTCTACGCTCCCTCGGGCTGAGATGGAGGTCACAGGTTTTTATTAGTTGGGTATCACTTGATTATTGTCTTAGGAAGTCATTCAGTACCACTTTCTTGTATCTATATCTCGTTTCTCGACTGTCACGTGATATGCAAATTTGATCGAATATGTCAATTGGCCATCTACATTAACAGCAATTTTCAAAAAGAGAGACCTCGAATAAGCCAGTCATTATAGACCTATCAGTTCGTCCGTCCGTCGTCCGGCTGTCGTCCGTCGTCCGTCAACTTTTCCTAAAAATCGCTTCTAGTCATAAACGACTTAGCAGATTAGAAACGAGTGTAACGGAAACTATATTCAAATAAGTGCAGACCAATTGAGTATTTAGTAGGAAACAAGGTGGATTTATCAAAGGAAGGTTCACCGTTTTGCAATTAATATAAGTGAAAAAGACTGGATGGGAAATCTTGACACAGGAGGGTGCAATGGTGTACTTAATTGTGATACCAAGGTATTCGACAAAGTCCCCTACCACTACCGACTCACCCATATATGAGCATCTACAGTTTAACCGGTAAAAATGCGAGCTGGAAGGAGGTGATCAGTGGCATTCCACAAGGATCCGTCCTAGAACCAGATCTATTTGTCTTACAACATTAAACTTTCGCGGGTATTTGTTTCGTGGTTTAAAGCCATTTAGATCCTTGCGTGGTAGATGTACAGTTGTGAAATACATTGTATATCAATCAAATTCGTTGTATTTATTTTTGTGGTTCCAAAGCGAACACAAACACTACAAAAGTGTATGCATAGAAAAACATAGAACGGTAAGGATACAAAAGTTCAGCCTTTGAAAATTCAACACGAAGGACTGTTAGTGTCTACACAGGGACCTGATAATTTGTTACAGCTATATTTGGACCTAAACTGAGGTGTTCAGAGTAATCTTACACGTTTTAGCGGTTTAGATCAAGTTTCGGTGAAAATGCCAACTACAATAATGGTATATACGATCATTGGGGGTGGCATTTTACTGAAACTTCACCTTAACCAAAAACAAATCAATGTAAAGCTATGCAGAGAGGTAAAAGTGACAGTAATAACTTCACCTAAATTCTATAAGATCAAAAAGAAGTTTACTATACAGAAAATGGGTAAAAAACATAGATATCGGAGTCGCTATCGCACTGTATAAGTATGCCATGTCTACAGATCAGGTAAAAATCAACAAGGCCAACCCCTTTATTGGAGTGGTAAGAGGAACAATGGAAGACATGGATCAGACTGCATTTACAAGTCTATAGATCACATCTAAATATGCAAACCAAGTCTCGAGTCCACATCTGATTCTTTAGAAAACATCAATATGGGCTAAGCTATCCTATCCAGAGAGACTGCAACTCCTGAAATTGCCAATGTTGGCCTATAGAAGTACCGGGGAGACATGATTCATGCCTGGGAAAAATTATCCTGAGATGTCAATTTTCATTACATTTTCCATAAACAACATCATCACAAGGTTGACACGAATTAAAATTATATACATGTACATGTATTTATCACACCCCTTTTACCAAGAGAGTGAGTCAAAGCCCTCTACACTATATATAGCCTGTAAGCCACATGACAAATGTGAAATGTTCTTCGTTTGAACAAACTTGAAATATCTTTACCTCTTTACTTCTAATGTCAGGCCAATTATCACGACCCTAATATAACGTTATTCAGAAGAAGTAATTTCGCTATTGAACACATTTGAGGTCGTGGCCTTGAAGGTAGTTATCTTTAGCAGGTAGCATGCTGGGATGGAGATGGAGAAGATTGTTCATATGGATATTTTTGGCTTACTTTAAAGGCCACATGGATAAAATATTTAAATGACTTCTTTTGCAGAAAGTTAGGTATGTACACCGGGAAACTTTCGCCCAGTTAAGTTTCATCCTTGGCCTGTAAAATGTGTATTCGCCCACTGTATATTTCGCCTTCCACGTGTTATTTCTATATAGTGTTTGATGTGTACTAGTCTAATACTGCTGTCGTGATAAATTCGCCCTCGTTAAGGATGACACAAAGGCGAAAATCAAAATGTGGCGGAAATGTCCTAGTATGCAGAACTTTTTCTTCAGAAGAAGTTAGTTAAAAGAAAAATGTTGACACCAGACGGACAAGAACAAGATGGCGTCGTTATCGACACACGGTACATTTAGTGTGTCGTGATCTGTGATTAAATATCGTGTGTTATCCTTCTATGGACAAACTATCAGAAATCGAATAATAAGACGGATTCGAGCAGGAAAGGAAGGGGTTACAAAAGGTGAAAATTGTGATGGGATTGTGCTGTATTTGACATCATGTTTTGATATTTGATTTTGTCTCTTACCGTATATATATTATATATATACGCACCTCACATATTTACCTGTGAGCTCTGAACTAATCGAACTCACGGTCGATGATTCGTCACGCTCTATCGAATAATCATTGGCGGACTACACACAGTGATAATAGACAACATTCGTTATGGGGAACAGGTCCAAGAAGCGTAAGAGTAAATCCACTCATTATGACAGTAGTACCAGTAGTGTCAACAATACTGCTGAATCTACAGCTTTCAGCACCATCGAGGAGGAAAGTTCCGGCAAGTCTGCGGGACCCTGTGCAGCCGTAATGCCCGGTGTCACAGATCTTAGTGCAGTACATAGAAAACTTGATTTTTTAATTACAAAAGTCCAAAAGCTAGATCTTATTGAACACCAGATGAAAAATATTCAGGTCTCACTATCGCACACCATCAGACGAGTCAATGAATTTGAAAAAAAAAATGTTGAGTTTGAAAAGTCTGTAGGGTTTGTATCAAGCAAATGTGACGAATTCAGCAAAAAGTGTAGTGACCTAGATAAACTTACAAGCAAATGTGACGAACTCAACAAAAAGTGCAGTGACATTGACAAACTTTCTCGGCATATGAATGATCAGCAAAAACAAATAAAAGCCGCAAATGTAAAAATATCTGAAGTTATGGAGGCTAGATCCATGGACGTACGGGACAACCTGTCTGAAACAGTGTTGGACCTACAATGCGGTAATCGAGGAACGTCGAAAAAAACTATATCCGGTTATTAAGCGCCTCAAAAGATCACCGAACAAACCAACTATTAGACTTGTTAGAGACAAGCTTTACGTTGACGGCAAGCTGTACACGGATGAGACTGTGCTAGGTATGGACCAACAGGAGGCTCCAGCAGCCCCGACGTATGCCAGTACTGCTGCCGGCGGTAAAGCGACCGTAGGCAATGGTACTCGTACATAGGAACGCGCGGAGAGAGACACTTTCAGTAGTACGTTTGAACTCTCTGTACTTTCGTGGAACATTGGCAAAGGCCTGGTTAACAAGCTTAGTGATAGAGAATTTTTGTCCATTATCCAAAAGTATGACATTGTATGTTTATGCGAATGCTGGATAACTGTCAACGATGAAATTGAGCTTGACGGGTATTGTAAGCATGTATTTCCTAGGAAAACTGGGATAGGTGGCGGAATAGTTATCTTCTTCAAGAACTGTTTTAAAGACAAGATATCTGTTGTTGAAAATATGTATGATAGTATAATATGGTTAAAATTGGAAAATAGCTCCAGAGATTCTGATACATATATTGTTTTCTGTTATTTTCCTCCAGAAAATAGTGTTTTTTATGAAAACAATTTAGATGAAATAGATTTATTCCAGTCGTTGCAAGATTCAATTATAAAATATAAATCAAATGGAAAAGTGTACATAACAGGAGACCTCAATGCTAGAACTGGTACCAGATCTGACACGGTAATTAATGACGCTTTAAGTAACGAAGTTAACGATTTATTTGATGCTTTTGATTACCAATACGATGATGTATATGATATAAAAGAACGCACAAATATGGACAAATATGTAAATTCTTTCGGTAGAAAATTGTTATCACTCTGTAAATCAACTGGATTTAGAATCATGAATGGACGTCACTCTGATGATCCCGATGGAAGTTTTACATTTTTCAGTGCTAATGGTACCAGTCTTATTGACTATCTTTTAGTGGAGGGTGAGAACTTTCGTAACATAATACAATTTAATACAGGTACATTTGAAACTATGTCTGATCACTCGCCTGTAATTTTTAAATGTAAGCTTTCTTTAAGCTTGGATGATGATTTGTGTGAAAATGAATGTCATGTTAGGTGTGCATGTGAAAATGTAAAATGGAATGATGGTAATGTAAATTCTATCAAACAGAATTTGAATGATAATAACGAAGTACTGAGTGAAATATTCTGCTCGCCTTTATTGACTAATTCAGATGTAGAGGTATGCATTCACAAACTCAGTTCATTTATGAATGAAATGATTTTGCCAATGTGCGATGTACATAGTTCTAAACAATCTCATGATACAAAACGTCATAACAGCAAAGCTATTGCGGATGAGGATAAACCTTGGTTTAATCTCACATGTAGACATAGGTACAATGCTTACAAAGCTGCTTTACACTCATTCAATATTAATAAAACTGTCGAAAATCATCAAATATTAACAGAGAAAAAAACTAATTACAAAAAAATTGAATCGAGACTCAAGAGGGAATATCGGAGACAGGAAGGTGATATGATGGATTATCTGCGTAGACACAATCCGAAACATTTCCATAAATAGTTTGCAAGACGAAAATCTAAAGTATCCAACAGAATTTCTCTTGACACACATTTTAACCATTTTAAACACCTAAGTAATCAAGTGAATATAATAGATGACACAAATGACTCAAATGCTGATGTAGATATTGAAAGTAATGAATCTTGTATATTTGATGAATTGGATAAAGAAATTACCGAACATGAAGTGACTTCTGCAATACATAAGTTGAAAAGAAATAAAAGTTGTGGTGAGGATAAAATATTAAACGAATTATTCATTGATTGCAAAGAGATACTAGTACCATACATAACTACAAATTTTTAACTCTGTTTTTCAAACAGGATTTTTCCCAGAATCTTGGTCAACTGGGTGTATCACGCCAGTATATAAAAAGGTGATATTGAAAACACGAATAATTATAGAGGTATTACTTTAGTTAGTTGTATGGGAAAGTTGTTTACATTAATATTGAATTGGCGATTAGTGAAATGGGACACCGAAAATAATATTATAACGGATGCCCAATTTGGTTTTAGGCCTGGATACTCGACTGTTGATGCAATATTTGTCCTTCAGACATTAATTAATAAGTATTTAAGCAAAAGAGGTGGCAGACTATATTGTTGCTTTGTAGATTATAAGAAGGCCTTCGACCTAATTGAAAGATCTCATTTGTGGTGTAAATTGATAAATCAGGGTATACGCGGGAAAATGTTACGAATCATACAATCTTTATATAACTCAGTGAAATCATGTGTAAAGCATAATGGGGGTTATTCTGACTATTTCACAAATACGATTGGTCTTTTTCAGGGTGAAATATTATCACCGATTTTGTACTCCATGTACGTGAACGATTGTGAAATACATTTTATCAAGGAAGGATGTCCTTCAATTGAACTTAATTTGATTAATATTTTTCTGTTGATGTACGCTGACGATATGGTTTTATTTGCAGAAACACCAGAAAAACTACAGGAAGTTATGGATGCTCTGAAAGTATATAATAACAAGTATAAGCTTACATTAAATACAGAAAAGACGAAAATAGTAGTTTTCAGGAATGGTGGCATAATACGGAATAACGAAAAGTGGATATATGATAACATAGAGCTGCAAGTTGTTAATCAGTTCAATTACTTAGGAATGCTTTTCAATTATAATGGTAAATTTAATGTTACACAAAAACACGTTGCAGAACAAGCAAATAAGGCGTATTATGCAATTTGTAGCAAATTGAAAAATCATAATTTTAATATTGAAACACAATGTGCAGTTTTTGATACATATATAAATAGCATTTTGAGCTACAGTGCAGAGATATGGGGATTTCATAATGCTTTAGATGTCGAGAAAATACATATGAATTTTTGTAAACGGCTACTCGGAGTTAAAAAGAGTACCTGTAATAATTTAGTATATTATGAGTTAGGAAGAATGCCACTGGCGGAAAGTAGAAAGCTTCGTATCATTAAATATTGGTTAAAATTAAGAACTACAGATAATTGTATTTTAAAAACTTGTTATGAAGAAAGGATTTTGTCGAATGACAGTTGGATTATAAATATCCAGGGGGAACTTCGCAAATTAGGTTTAGGTTATTTATGGGACATCAATGGTAACACTACTGATAGACATATTTATAAAATAATTGAACAACGGTTTTACGATATATATCAGCAAAACTTATTATCTAACATTCAAACTATTTCTAGAGGTTTTCTTTATCAACATCTTATTGACAAATTTACCCTGCAATACTATTTGAGAAAACCTATCAATAATTTATACAAAAAATACTTAACACGTTTTAGATTAAGCTCACATAGTTTAAATATTGAGCAAGGCAGGTACAGAAATCAACCAAGAGAACAACGACTTTGTACATTCTGTAACGCTAATGATGTTGAAGATGAATTCCATTTTATACTTAAATGCAAATTTTATGAGGATTTTAGGCATGAATATATTAAACCTTATTTTTACAAACGACCAAGTGTTTTCAAGTTAATAGAACTGTTCAATACCAAAATCGTTAAAGATCTAAATAACCTAGGCAAATTTTTGCATTTAAGTACAAAACGACGAAATAATATTGTTTAACTAAATATAATACTGCATGTTCTGTATGTTATACCCACATACAGGTATATTGTGTTTTAATAATCTATGTCATGCATTGTACACTATTGCATCAACTGTAATTTGTGTTATACATTGTGATAGCTTGTACATATGTATGTCTACTCTCCGATGTGTTGTAAACATAAGGAAATAAATAATCTGAATCTGAATCTAAGACGTCACACCACCGCAAACTTCGTGCCACGTGAGTTAATACTAAGCTTAAAAAACACAAATAAAAACTTACTCAGCTGATTGGAAAATTTCCGAATATCAAGGACTTTTATGTGAGTGACGAAGTCCGCTTTTTCCTGTAGGAGTCGAACGATGTGTTGTCCAAGGAATCCGTTTCCGCCCGTCACCAACACCGTGTACCTAGCCATACTGCTGTGGAGGAGCTAACGGAAGTTACGTTGTTTAAAGTTGGTATATAAATCATGGTGGTGAAATGATCGTGTGTGTCAATCAACAGCTGCCCAAATGACAGCTTCGTTGGAGACGGATTCAATACCAATACTTGGATACATTTGTCACGTTTGAAAGTTTATCTTGTTCTTTTAACGTATTACTGAATGTATTATTTTAAACAAAAGTGCGATAATAGATTTTGATAAATGAACATTTATAAAACAGCAAAAACTAACTTAGTAAGCGGGCCTAGTCGTACTGCATCATATAATGTTATAATTTAATCTTGTAACAAGCATTTTCATTGGCTTAAAAAAATATGTTATCAGCGCATAACGTTAGAAAATGACGTCGCCGTTTGTAAGGTCGCTTTTGATTGGCTGATACAGCAGCGCAATAATTTCTAAGAGAAAAGAGTCCATCAATAAAAGTGTATTTCCATAGGGATTGTGTATAGTAGATTAAATTATAAGGATTAACTTGAATATATTTTTCATGTTATTGAGCTATAACACACAAAAAAACCGGAGGGTACTCTCATCATAAACCGCTTCGCGGTTTATTTAGAGGACACTCCGTTTTTTTGTGTTATAGCTCCATAACATGAAAAATATATTCAAGTTAATCCTTTTACATTTTAACCTGTTCGGAAGCCTTCCAGTGCATGGTAACAACAACAACAACAAAACTACCGTTTGAATAAAAAAAAAACACCGCCCGATTGACCATAACACTAAATTAGGACTATCGGGCGGGGTATTTTCCTATTGATATTATCGTTGCATAAAAGAAAGTAAACAAAATAGAGCATCTGAAAAAGAATGAAAAATCGAGGTCCTGACCCAAAATACCTGTGACATTTTATACATACTTACATTGTGGTACTTTTCTACACCACTCGCATCCGTCAACTACTTGTACGAGAGATACATATGGTATAAATACACAAAAACAGACACTATCGCTACCCGATAATGATAACCGGATACATCTGGCCTAGCTGCACCTCGGTATGTACACCAGCTTGTTGATTTTGTTTTGACACTGATAAATAATCAATTATATGAAATAGATGTCTGGATCAGAGTACTGCACTATCTTTATTTGATAACAAAAACAGTGATGTCGTGCAATGATCTTGAAATGTCAACTATTGTACACATACAAACATGTTTAAACGTTATCATTACAGCCTTCCTATGAAATAATATTAAAACTATTTTTGACGAACTAAAAGTATATTCTTTTTATGTATTTGTCTCTTTCTCCATCTCGCCATATGTTTCCATCACATGTCTGAGAATCATTGTCACCCTCGATTCTCAAAGGGTTACACCCGACTTCACGGCAAGTCAATTTTACCGTTACACAGCCGCAAGATTAATTTGATGATCAAACTAATTTTCTCATCCACAAGGTGGCGCACACCGAGCCTCGATTTTGTTGTGAAACACTCTAGGGGTGTACATCCTCGATACTCCAGGGTTTAGGTTCACGTTCACTCTCTGCATCACTTAAATATTTCATAGCAAAATTGAAGGGGCGTGGTAGCTATTTGATTGGTCACAGGTTAAAAAAACCCAGACCAATCGCTAGGCTGATACCTGTCCTTTAAAGATTACAGCGGAGCGACATATCCGACTTCACGGCAAGTAAATTTTACCGTTACACGGCCGCAAGATTAATTTGATGATCAAACTAGTTTTCTCATCCACAAGGTGGCGCACACCGAGCCCCGATTTTGTTGTGAAATACTCCAGGGTGTACATCCTCGATACTCCAGAGTTTACGCTCACTTACGACTCTCTGGACCCTTATTCATGAAACCGGTATCATGCTAAAACCCAAACTCTTGTTCCGGTGCTTAATTTATTAAAAAAAAAAAATACCATTTTGTCAACATGTCTTGAAGAATTTCGGAGAGACTTCAAGCCGCATGTTCACACTTGGCTACTGATCGTGTCACATGATTTAAGCAAGTCACAAGAAAGTTGGTTTGAGCACAAAATCCATGCTTCAGCATGAGAACGGTTTTATGAAACCGGTACCTGGAATATGTCATAGCAAAATTGAAGGCACGTGGCTAGCTATTTGATTGGTCTCGGGTAGAGGATTGTATGTTGTGATTAGTCTCTATACGTAATTCATGCTAATTATTATTGTGTAATTTACCACTACTTTGTGTGTCTTTTAAGACCGTGATCATTGCTGAATAACCTGACCAATCGCTGTGATGATACCTGTCCTTTGAAGATTATAAAGGAGCGACGACCGACTTCAAAGCCAGTCTATTTTACCGTTACGCGGCCGCGATATTATTTTGATGTTACATCAAAGGATCAACTCATCACGAGTCTCCACAACGTGGCGCACACCGAGCCTTCAATTTTGCTGACATACAAGATGCCGGAAGTGAACGTAACCCCTAGTATCGAGGGTGTTGATACTCTATGCCAACATAAATCACCCTTCATACCAATGCCTTCTGTGGTTTATGTATAATGGTTATCAAATATACATACGTGGTCTTTGTTAGGGGCTAACGGAATAATTATGGACAAATTCACACATCCTATTGGAACGCTATGGCAAGCAAACCTTAAGAAAACTTGACACTTAAAACACTAAAAGAAACATCTCATAAACTTATATAACAAATATTTCTGTCAATTGATTTTTTTTTCTTGATTTAAACATGTTTTATTTGTCATTCAACAAAAAGGATTAGGCACAAGTTATCTCAACTTAGAAACGCCCTCTCCAATAAATTTTATTATATGGATTACATGACAACAGCAACAAATATATTTATAATATATATATATGAACAAAGAAGAAAGGAAGGGAAAAGGAAAGGATTTTTTTAGAAGAATAAGAAAGAGAGATGATAGGATAATACTACTGACCTTAAAATCTGTTACTTTTTTTAATGTAGTTTTGGACTATATGGAAGATATTTTCATTGTCTTCATCTGACAAGTTTGGAGAACCGTACAGAATAACATTTAGAGAAATATTACAATAACGTGAGATATCATCAATCAAAATTTGTCCTTGTCTGATATACAGCATACAATCAAAAAAATAATGGACTGCATTTTCACACTCATTTCCACATGCACACATTGGATCACCTACAATATTAACTCTATACAAATCATAGTTTGAATTACTACATGAATGACGCAATCTTGTATGTAAAATATATAGTTTTCGATTTCCTACATGAAAAAAATAGGCAACAAGTAACCTTGGTTACGCTGAAACGATGATTTAGAAATGTTAACGGATGGCTGCTCTCTGACAGTATTTGGTAAATCGTTCCATAGTCTTATAGAAGAAGAAATAAATGATTGGAATGAACTAGACAGTCGGAAATTGGGAACAGTGTAGTTTTCAGTATTTCTCAAGTTGTAGCTATTGCGTTCGCATACTTTAGGAGGAAGAATGTTAGTTAAATAAGAAGGTGTTTGTTTATTATGGTGTTTGTACATTAGGGAAAGTTTCTTAAGTTTTCTTCTTTTAGATAGAGGTTCAAGTTGGGATTCTTGATACAGTAATTGCTTACTAGAAAAAGAGGGTAGGCCAGTTATAATTCTTGCTGCTTCAAGCTGAACTTGTTCAAGTTTAGTTTGATCTGCCAGAGAACAACCAATTTGGTGTGTCTCATGAATATCAGAGCTGTATCATATAATCCTAATCATATGACTTTATCTCTTTACATTTAAGCAAATATTTCATTCATTTAGAGACATTTCTATTCGAATTCTTTCAACGATATCTAAATAACAATTAAAGATTATAAGACTCTCTCATGCAAAGTGGTGTAGGATAGGGAAACTCCAACCGAGGGGTTTTCAAATTTGGTAAAACCCGAGGCTTTGCAGAGGGCTACTGGTTGTGTAAGATAGAGAAATCTCAACCCTCGGACTAAGAGTTTTTGTCCAGAACTCGGCAAGCCTCGTTCTGGACAAAAAATCTTAGGCCGAGGGTTGGGGTTTCTCTATCTTACACAACCAGTAGCGATTGATTATTTTTCTCCCATATATAACAGTATTTTAATGTGAAATAAAGGTAAACATGGACCCAAAACACATACAGGCAATTTGTTGATGGATTGTTGACGTGACGTTATTGTATTGTTGAAGTGACGTCATGCCATTGTTATGAATAGGGGAATCCCCGTCTCAACCCTAGGGCGGGGACAGATAAATCTAGCACCGGCAAAACGGGAGATAAATCTGTCAGGTGTGGGAGAAAGGGCATTCTCTTACCATGGACAGGTGTATCCGCACTTTTACCGGTGTGAGATTTCCTTGTCTCACCCTAGGGTTGAGCCATAGGTGGTGGGCACGTCTATCAAAAAAAATAATTGAATATATAAAATCTAGTTTTATATATTCAATTATTTTTTTTGATAGACGTGCCCACCACCTATGGTTGAGCCGGGGTGATTCCCCTATTCATAACATATTTCGTATATAAGATATCTCATATAGTATATGAGCTATCTTATTATATATGGTAGCCTGGGAATCCGACCTAGAACATTTGTCATCGCATGGTTATTTTTATATCTTTATTTTCATTTGTTTCAATTTATTATTATTTTTTATATTTATGCCATCACTTAATCGTAATTTTAACTGACGTTTTCATGTCAGCGTATTTACTCATCTATATAATTTCCCAAAGTCTGCTGTAAAACATATTAAGGAAATGTTTCAAATAGCAGGTCCCTGTGATCTCCATTGAACAAACGGTCAAATCGATCGGACCACTGTTGTTCGTTTATTAAATAAGGTCGGACCTAGTAATCTGATGCTGCTTTCAGGCGAGCCTTGAGAAAGCCTTGCAAGGCCTGCATACACATTTGCAGGTTCGCCAGGATTTATACCCGAAATTGTTACGTTTATAAACGGTCAAACCGGTTGTTCTGCATAAACGAACAGGCCCCTAGTTGACCTTTTACACTGAACGATAAGAGTTATCTTTCGTATCTTACTTCCTGTCTGTTTCCAGTTTCTTACTGCCACTGCAAACATCGTCTCCATCTCCATCATCCTCGGCAGACCCAGTTTGTGTACGTATCAACTGATGGTGTACAGCAGTGCATACAGATCAATCGTTATATATTGGCGTTGTGAATGTAACAATACGAAGTTAAATATTGCAAGCCAACTTAACATTTATTCAAGGAGCAATGTCGATCCTGTATTTCATCGAATTATTTAAGATATCTTATATAGCATATGAGATATCTTATATACTATATAAGATATCTTATATCGTATATAAGATATCTCATATAGTATATGAGATATCTTATATACTATATGAGATATCTCATATAGAAATTAAATGAGATATCTTATATAGTATATGAGATGTCTTATATAGAAATTAAATGAGATGCTATATAAGATATCGTATATGATATGTAAGATATCTTATATCGTATATAAGATATCTCATTTAATTTTCTATATAAGATATCTCATATAATATATAAGATATCTCATATAGCTGTATAAAATATCTGATATAGAATGAGATTTCGTGGCATGAAAAACCAGAAACTAATTTCTCCCTCGAGAAGCATTCGGAGCACATTCAGGATTGCATTGGGCGCAATGGCTGAGAGGAATGGTACGGATGCTGTATTTTCCCTAGGCCTAGCTCGCCTTGTCTCTCTTATAGCGGCCAAAGTAGAGGCTGCCATTTCCTGCACTCTTGAAGTGGGCTCAGACAAAATGGCGCCGACAGGAACACGTGTTGTTACAACAAGCCTACTGTCCCTACGTAGATCCTCGAGATATTCCAGACGGGGAGACTTCATTTTCGACATTTTGTTAAAATCTTGTTACTATATAAGATATCTTATTTAGTAACGAGACTTTAATTATATAAGATATCTTATATAGCTATATGA